AGGCTTCCCGCTGAGCAGGGAGCCTGATGGGGGCTCGATCCCAGGACCCTGGGATCATGACCTGAGCCGAAGGCAGACGCTCAACAACTGAGCCACCCAGGCGTCCCTGTAATCAATTTTTAGATACCTTTTATATCCAGGATTACAAGGCTACAAATAAACTCCTGATTCATTTAACACCTCTTTTGATCTACTTGGTAGAATGATTTTTATTTTAGTGTGAGTACATTTGCTTGCTAAAGAGCTGTAGTAGTCCCTTAGTTAATATTTTGACATTAAAATGATTTTTAAGCATGATTGAGAATAGTAATTATTATACCATGTCTATAAAATCTTTCATTGTTCAATATGTATTCAGCAAAGGGTTTATATTGACCTAGTAGGAACTGTTGGCCAGCATAATTTTTTTTTTTTAACCATTACCTATCAATCAGTGCATGGTAAATGCATCTAATTTGGTCTTTAAAGAGGAAGCTCATAATAATAATATGCTCCCAAAAATAGTATATTTTTTAAGTCAATTTGATTGGTGTAATCTATTCTCAGAATCACTAGAACATACTGCCTCAGTGGACAGAAGTAAATGTTACTTTGTGCTCTGCTTTAATCAAATCTGCAACCAAGAGAATTCATCATATACGTAATTATAATTTTATGTTACAGAGCAAGCTGATGATTTGTACCTCACTTCTGGAGAAATTGTTTATCTTCTGGAAAAAATAGACCCAGATTGGTATAGAGGGAGATGTAGAAACCAGACTGGCATATTTCCTGCCAACTACGTCAAAGTAATTGTAAGTAGGGTAGTGCTTGTTTAAATTCGTCGTATATTCTGTGGGTTCTGTGTAACTTGCAGTTTGGAAAAAAACAGAAGCCTAGATTCTTATATTCTAGTTCATGCTCTTCCATTGATGCATCTGGTATTTGGAAAATTCAAAAAATAAAGGTTTGTTCAACTAAATTATGATTAATTATTATTATATTATATGGAGTATTGGAACTTAATGCCTAAATGCTATCTGAAATCCTAAGGTGGAAAATGACTGCAGGTCAACTGGCGAACCAACTCGGAGGGGTGGGTAGGCACTAAATGATATATATTAACTCTTTGAAACCTTTAGTAAACAACAATTAAATAGTACCAGATAGTCCCAAAGGAATATATATTAACTCTTTGAAACCTTTAGTAAACAACACTTAAATAGTACCAGATAGTCCCAAAGGAATGTTTTCTGAGGTTATGGTGCCACTTATTTTCTTTGGAGTACATTTCACTTTTGGTTTCTTTCATCCTTTCCATTCCCATTTATTTCCATCTTAAAAAAAAAAAAAGATTTGGGATTACTAAAGTACTTTCATTGGAGGTAGTGGTCCATTCATGGTTTTTCACAATTTAATAACTTCAAATCTGATTGGAAAAATTATATATATATATTTTAAAGATCTTATTTATTTGACAGAGAGAGAGACAGCGAGAGAGGGAACACAAGCAGGGGGAGTGGGAGAGGGAGAAGC